ATAGCTGTTGTTAGGCCTCTCTGTTCGCACCCTCTCTAGCGCTCGGGCTCTCCAGTCCCGTTTCTCTCTCTCTCTCTCTCTGCCCTTCGCTCCAGGGTCTTCTCAACTGCCCCTCTCTGGGGCTGGGGTCTATGTACCCCGTATGCAGCGCCCTCACTGACGCTGGGGTCCCCACACTATTGTGAGTCCCCTATGAGGCCTCCTCCATCCCCTAATAGCCTCTCCCAAACCACCGGTGTAACCAATAGCAAACACAAACAGTAACATAAACACCAGCCTCTTGGCTACCACATAAACATAAGCCACTAGCTATAACTATGCTCAGGCCTACCGGGTTCTCTATCCTACTGCGGTGACCAACGCTGCTCTGGCATCAAGGTGCCTGTAGACCAGTGCATCTTCAGCTGCCAAATGATTTCTTTTTAAAAAAACAGAACTTTGTGGTTTATTGAACAGATCAATTAAGTTCAGAAGTAATTATCTGATATGTTGAATATATACTAGTGAAGCTGATATGGGTGGATAGCCGTTCCAGGATTAAGTTTCTTAATGGAATTTGTGAAACTCTTGTATCGCTGGAGCTGTTTTGATGTTTTAAGTCAATGCTTCTCAAACTTTTCCTCACCATGGCCCCATTTATGACCCCATTTCCTCAGCATGGCCCCTCACTCCCAACTCATAGCCACACAATCCTCTGGCCCTGCTGGTGCCCCTCATTCCAAATCCTCAGCCCCCTACTCTCCCCAGGTGCCCCAGGGCTAGGGCCCAGGGCTCCCTGCCCCCCACCCCAGCAATGCCTGATCCCCAGATGCCACCTGCAGGAAGCAGCAGCTGCCAAGGCTGGAGCACAGAGCCTGACTCCCTGCCCACCACACCCCTGTCCCTCCCTCCCCCCCTGCAGGCAGCACAGTCAGGGTAGAGCCCATTGTGGGGAGGATGCAGGCTGCCCACTACGGGCTTGGGGCTCTCACCCTGCTGCCCTTCCCCCAGACCTCTGCAGCCCAGAGGGCGGGACCTGGCGCAGGAGAGAGCACTGCACCACGACCACATCTGCTGCTCTTGCAACCCCCTTTGGGGTAGTGACCCACAGTTTGGGAACCACTGTTTTAAGTAGTGCTTTCTTACTGCTGGAATGAGCAGGAGAGACAAGCACATAAAATAGTCTTCCTCCTATTACAGTGGGTTGTGGGATTAGTGAATCATCAACAAAGTAAATTCACCATTGCACTCCCTGTCTCTGGAAGACCACAAGCTAGTTTTAGGCTCCATTACTGCTCTGCCTTCCAGTGTATGAACTTTTTTTTTGAGCAGCAAGAGAATTAATCCAGGTAAACTTATCTAAGCACAACCCAATTGCCTAGAGGTGGCCAAAGGGCCCTGCATGGGAGTTAAGTTCTCTGAGGAAGTCTTAGGTTTGGTCATGATTTAAAGAAAGAACAACTTCTGATGAATTGTCAGGATGCTTTTTTGACTCGACATGCTCTGAACAGCTGCTGCCTTCTGTTTTTTGTAGCATATAATACATGATGGATCTCTGGCCCAACAGCCTGTTTACATTGACTCAGTCTCTGAAAAAATTCTCCCATTTTATTGCAAAAAATTGTTTTTTAAAATATAAATGTTGTTATTTGCTGCTTTTCCCCTTGGTGGGTTATATTATTTAAGTCGGTGCTTATATATATATATATATATATATATGTATGTATATATATGTGTGTATATGTATAATTTGTGTGTGTGTATTTATATGTATGTATGTTTCATGGTGTTTAAATGGTCTCTTCTAGAAAAGTGAAATTCAATTCCTCTGCATCTATCCTAATTGTTTGTTTTATTTATTTTAGATGCAAGATAAATATTTTGTAGGAACAGGAAAGTGAAATCTAATTTCACATGAAATAGTATTACAGAAGTAACAATTTAGCAAATTGATTTATAGTTCTATTAATTAACAGAGCAAAAGAGAATCCAAGAAGTACAAGCAAGCAGGCATGATGGATGTCTTCACCTAGGAAATGAAACACAGATGAGTTGATGAGGTAGAGAAACAAATTAAAGTTATTCCATACAGCAGTCTGCAGACTGAGGCAGGATTATACAGTTGGGCAGAGAAGGAACCATGGACTGAGAGTATTGGAAGTGAAGACATAAGTAGAAAGTAACTGATGCCCAGATCCACAAAGACTTGGGCCTGGTAACCACTACTAGAGTTGCAGGGAGATGACGGGGTTAAGCACTTAATAGGAGATGGCCTTCACTCAGAATGCTTAAACGTTATATTCATTTTTTTTTAATTTGCTCACAGACTATGTTTAGTTGTTGGGGCAAAAATTGCCAATGTACAGAGAGCCCCTGCATGGCCTTCGGATGGCCCTTTGCATATGACTTAGAACTTTTGCCTAAGCAATGATTACAAGATGGGATTTTTTGGATGCAGTATAAAGCAGTGCTTTTTGTGTTGCCTTCTTACTTGATAAAAATATTCCTTCCTTTTCATTTTTCTTCTTTTAAACAACTGTTTCTGTGCCTCTGATGTGTGGTAAATGTATACATATTGTAAATGTATTAACAGTTATATAATGGAAAAAATTCACTATAAGCTTCACTCAGAAAAAAGATGGGGATTTAGCTAAGTATTTATTCAATATTTGCTCATGTCTGACAACTCCAATATTTTTCTAAACCTGACCTAAACTTCATGCCACTACATCTAAAAGGATATCTTAACCTCCACCCATATATATGACAACATTGTTTTTATAGAAAGAAATTTATTACAAAAAGAGAGAAAGTAGAAATAACCCTAAAAGAAAGAATAAACAACAGTCAAAAACAATATCTGTGTTGCTTTAAAACTTTGACCCTGTATTTGGAAGTGCCTGCATACTGTCAGCTGTTTGTGAAGAACATGGTTGTTGCAAACGTTTATAGCAACACATGCAATAGCACCATATATAATCGCCTCTCTATGGAGAAGATGAAGGAGAACAAACCATATGTGACGTGTACAGGTTTCCCTCACTTTATGCAGGTTCTGGACGTGCAAATTCACTCTTATGCGATGACCCTTTTTATACCAGAAATTTGTTATATGCGAGGTAAATTCACTTTTATGTGATCAGTGTGGTGGAAGCCTGTAGTCAGCTGCTTTGTGCAGTGCATTGTGGGAGTGATACACACCAAAATATTTTCTCCTGTGTGGATCTGTGCTTCTCGCTCGCTGTCTGCAACACATGTTGCTGTAGTTGCCATCCCCATTATGGCTTCTAAGCATCCCGCTAGCTTATCTCCTACCCATCTCCCTGGTCCACCAGTGATGTGGAGTCTGACACTGAAGACCCTTCACCACCCTCTCTTCACACCAACTAAACATTCACCATCACCCTGTGCTTGTGTGTACTGTCTGCTGTTGGTGAGTACCAACATTGTCTTGTAAAAGTGGTAGAAATGGGTCTGGGGGTCAGTACAGTTGACGTCTTGGCACATACCCCTATTTGTTACATTGTACAGTGGGCTCCCTTTATGCAAATTCAAGTTATGCGCCGTTTTCCAGGAACGCATGTACAACATAAAGCAAGGGAAACCTGTAGCTTATTACATTGCTGAAAAGAGCTCAGATTCTACATTGATTACGCCCCTGCTAGACGTTCAGTAAATGGGTGATAGAATCTGATGCACAATCGACACAATTGTGCCTCCTGCCATGCCATATGTGTATGGGAGGAGGCATGACTGTAGGATCCAGCATCAGATCCAATCATGCCTTATTGCTGGTGCAGGGGGAGCCTGGGATCATGATCCCGGGCTGCCCCTGAGCTGGCAAGTAGCAAGCTCCAGCGGCTTGGGGCCCACAGCCAGGAGTGTGCCACATGCACTGCCATGGCAGCAAGTCTCACAGCTGACTTGCAGCTGTGGCAGCGTGTGGTGCATCCCTGTGGTTGGGAGTCCCTGTGGGTGGTGGACCCCTGTGGCTGGGAGTCCTGTCACCTGACGGGGCTCCCAGCCATAGGGAACACCTGGCCATATATTCAATTAATGCTAAGAAGAAGCCACAAATTTATTCCACATTTTTGTGAAAGAACTTTGTGGCTTATTCCTTGTTTTGTTTTTTTATCACGCTATTCATTGATTGAATGTGTGGCTGGGTCACAACTTGATGTGATTAACTGGTTAATCACATCTTAAGCGTAATGTGTAGATGGAGCCATAGAGTGGCAGAAGAACCCATATAGAAAAGAATTGCACTGCTATAAATGGAGCACAACATATATCAATATGTGGGGTTTTCTTCATATCTTTATGATTCATTTAATCAAAGATAAAGGGTTTTTTGCCACATGCATCACTGTTTAAATTATGAGCAGTCTAGACAGCTGAGTTGACTTGTCTTTATACAAGCTAGGAAGCTTCATGCTGGGAGACAAAACTTTTTTTCTAAAATTTTTTCTCAGCATAGATGCTGGGAATATAAAAGCTGTATTAGCTCTCTTGTATCTCTGTGGCAAAACAGCTTTGTCTCCTGAAGTACAACACTTTGAAAATAAGGTACTGTGTATTTTGCTGTTTAGCAATCCTGGTTTCCCTTCCTGCCGGTGACTGTTCTTTATCACCTTTGGAGTGTGTATTGCTTTAATATACTAAACGCTGACCACATTTTTCTGCTTCTTTTTGACTTGTATTTGATTAAGAAGATCTGAAGTTAGAATGTACTCCATGAATTTGGGGATGGACCATAGAGAAAGGGAATGGAAAAGCAGGCAAAGAAGGCTAAGTAGGCTGCCTGAAAGAAAGTCTGGCTTAGGTTCTTCTTCAATGTTTTCTGAGAATGTTACATGGAAAATTACTACCGTAGCAGAAAATGTGATCTGCAAATGAGAAACAAGGTATCTAGTAGTCACTTCTTGTACTTTAATAATATTTTAATGATTGTTATAAAGCTCTCAGTATCTTCTAAAATTAGAGGCCCTTGACAGTAAATCATATAATTATACGTGACAATAAACCATATCATTGTACTGCATCCTAAATATCAGGAAAGCAATGTTCCCAGGTCAGTGCCTGTTATTAGTCACTATCATGACACAAGCTTAAAAATTAGTTAACATGAAAAAGATTAAACCTGTTCGAGACACTGCTGTTTAGACAAAGTATAGGTGTTAATTACAGTGGTGCAGTCTCTTCTCAACTTTAACTCACTCCTGGTGATAAAAGTGACAAAATTGTCTGATTTGAGCTGAGTGAGGCAAATGCTATATATTGTGAACACCTCACACATTACCTAGAGTCTTTTGAGATAAAAACAAGCTAATGATACCAGAAAGAGGGAATTGAGTGAATCTTTTGCTGGTGAATAAATAAGCTGTTGGTTATCCTGTGGGTTCTTCTGTTCCATTTACTGATCATTTCAGTTTACAAAGAAAGATAGATAATTGTAAATACTTGCACTTTTATGCCATGAATTTAGTATTATAAACAAAAGGTGTATCACTGTTCTTGTATGTAACTGAAGAGCATGCTAAAGCTAATATTCGCATCTAAATACTTCCAGAAATTTTTACTTTTTAAAGAATTCCAAAGGGCTGCTTACTACCAAACTATTACATTCATAAAAATTTTGTTGCATCAACAACATAGAAAACAAAGAGGGAAAAATGTAGACCATATTTCTAATACAACATGCATATTGCCTTGTGTGTGTGTAAGGTCTTGATTTATAAGAAATGTGTGCATTCACGTGAGTTTGTATATTCACCTGTCACTTTGAATATGTACAAAACACAGCTTCTCTAGGGTTTTTTGCTCCCATTCTTTAGAAAAGAAAAATGAATCCTGACTCAAATCTGCATTTTGCAGAAGATAAAAAGCTACAGCACAAGGCTAGTGATTCTTTTTGTTTTTAACCAGAGTGTAATTTAACATTGGGAGAAAACAGCTGTGGGAAATAAAAATAGCTCAACACAACTCAGATTGACTTCCACATCCTTAGAGCTTAATGTGTAATTTCAGGCTTTCAGTTGAACAATACTCTTAAAATTTATGTTGCAGTCAGCCTTTAATCCTGGCATTTCTAGATAAAAATAACTGGCATCTCTGGATAAAATATATTATGTAAAACATATGTTAAAAACCAGCAGACGTATTATTAAAGTGACATGCAGTATTTTTAAATAAAAAGTATCCAGTTACATTTCAGCACATACATCCAACCGAAATCTGAAGTATTTGAAAGTGTTTATTAGCTAGAATTCAAGGTACAGGCAATAAAAGGCAATAATAACTGAAAACTTCAGGTTCGTCATTTGACAGAGAACAAGCTTTATCAGAACTGTAACAATATGCCATGTTGAAAAAATTACCAACTGACAGAAATTCCCTCCATTTATTATGCATCCTATGGTTGAAGGGTTCGTATTCCCCATGCTTTCTGTCAGTCTCAGATCAGATGTTTCCTATGTGGCCTGACACTATAATACAAGTACAATTTATGAAGAAAAGTAGTTGTGTTGACTTCCATGAAACTGCATGTAAGGACTGAGATTGGGGTCTAGAATTTCTTAGTGGTCCCTGCTGACTCCTAGAACTTGCACTTGCACCCCATGTTTTTGCTTGAGGCCAGCAGGAACTGACAATTATTTAACAGTAAAATAAGATTTCTATGCAATTTTACATAATTCTATGCAATATTAATTTATAGCCCTATGTTTTTTACCTGCTTCCTCCAGGATTTCTTGATCCTCACACTTCTCTCTACCCTCTCTATCTTAACTACAGCTGTTGCTCTTCATGCCAGCCTGTTTGCTTGGAACATCTGTGTATCAAGTGTCCTTCCTTGAATCCCTCTATAACACCAGCTTGCTCTTCCTGCTCTTCCCTTATTAATTGCTGAATTTATTATTTGTTTCTATTAAATGGAGCATTGATTTCTTAAAAGCAAAAAAGCTTCTCTCTTTCTCAGCAATATTTCCATGTTTTCTTATAAAGAAATTCATTTTCTATTCAGTGATTTTTGTCATAGTAGAGTCATATTATCAGCAGATTTATATCCTGTGAATCTTAAATAACAGACTCTTTGAGGGATTAATTTTAAGCATTGGTAAAATTATGTAAAAAAAAATAATGCTGCTAACTTACAGCGTGTTTGTCAGGGCCATGTTATCTGTCCCTGGGGCTCCCCATGTATCCAAAAAATTTGGTGGCAGCTAATTGCCTCTCCCCTGCTGTCAAATTTCTGGACCCAGTGGGAACCCCAGAGACCAGATAGCATGAGTTTGTGGAGTCAGTGAGGGCTGTGCAGGGCCAGTTAAAGCTGAGCAGTGTGGTGTAGGGCTGGGCATAGGCAGTGTGGAGTCCAGTCTGACCTGTGGACTGGCCCCATGTCACTTATCTGGCCCACGGAACCAAAAAGTTGAATACCACTGCTTTAAGTCTATATATGCTTGGGCTGCAGTCCTGCAAAGCCTTAAGCACATGCTAAACTTTACACACCAAGTAGTCAGTTTGACTTCAATGGGACTTCTCAAAGTGGAAAACATGCTGCACATTCGAAAGTCTGCAGTCATTAGCTTGTTTGCATTTGTATCAGAATGTTCATTGTTATCACCAAAAGTTATTGTTTCATCTTTATAAAGCGCCTGTCACCCCTCACAGAAAGGCGAGTTGAGAAGGATTCTTCTTCTCCCTAAAGCCAGGCAGAAAGTTGCTGTAATAGGTCCATTAGAGCAGACTGAGCAGCTCCTAAAAAGAAAGCATTGGTACTAAATAAATACAAGTAATGAGTAGCCCACTTCTTCAGAGGGATAGAAGCCTCTTAGGAGGTCATGGTTGATGTTCTGCCATAATTTGGGCCAGGTGCTCATGAGTTCTGAAACATACAGTTTAAAAGTCAAATTCAGATCTGTTGCCTCCATTTAAAGAGCATCTGAATTTGAATTAGAAACAATTTTAACAGGTGCCAGCTTTGTACTACAAAAAACTCTTACAAGCTGAGGGATACTTGTTTTATTTACCATCATTGCCAGCTCCACACTCCATCGATCTTTTTGGTTTATGCAGATTAATGTGAAAACCCACTTGACCTTGTTTCAGTCTGTAATGTTCAATGATGGCTTTTAATATTTTATGGTATTAGGGCACAGCAGAAAGCAATATTTTGGCCATCCACATCTTTCCTATCTGTGCTACTGATCGACTCTAGAGCTATTGTTTATTATAATTTGATCTTGGTGTGACTCCTGGTCCAATGAAATGGTACCTGCTTACACCAAATGTGGACATATATGAAGATGGTTCTGATGTATTACTGTATAGTCATTTGAAAATACTCTTTCTACTATTTGTCCTATAAAGATGTGTGTGCATTTATGCTAGGTAAGGGAATATTAGATTGAGGAGGCAGATGCTTGGCACATGCAGATGGTAGCATGGCAGATGTTTATAATAACAAAATCAATATATGTCTGTTACCATCTCTTTTTTGCTGTTCTTATCTTTTTCCTGACTTTCAGCCTTACCAAAACAAGGAATCAAGTTGTCAACATTAATTTTTGATAGACTGGTTTGTTTTGTTTTGGGGGGTGGGAAATCAGATCAGCAGCTAGTAGAACTCCTAGTTGGTCATCGTTGCTATGTTGATTTACAGCAGCGAAGGTTTTGGTATTATTTTGTTAGAATATTTATTTTAAAATGTACTCCAGAGGCATTATAGAGCTTTCTAAAAGAGAGTGTAGCCCAGTGATTTTAGGGTACAAGAGGCAAATACTGGCCAGAGGTGATTTTATTTTATTTTTAATCAAGAAATAATGATCATTAGAGATAGTAAAACAAAGTATGATGTCATTAATGTTTAACTGTGCCTGCAGCATATTTTTTTCAACTTATTGATTAAATATTTACAGAAACAGGCAACAGACATGTAAATGAAGTTAAATGTAAGTGTCTTGCAGAAATGGCCTAAATTTTAAATATGCATATTAAAGTGCGGTGCTTTCAGTTTAATAAAATACCACAAAATGTCAAACAGGTTTTGATTATTATAGAGAACCAGACATTAAAGGTTCATACTTTGCTACTATAGAGGCAAAAACGTCACCTTGCAAACAAAACGTGCCAGATTTTATGTATAGTTGAAAATGATAAACTAATGGATTTAAAAAAACTTACTTCATGAAAACACATTATAAGTATGTTTTAAAGATACAGCAAATCAAAATATCTTTAAAAAAATCTCATTACACTTTCTTCAATTTGAGAGAAATTCAACTGAGAGAAATTGAAGTTTGGTCAATACAAGCAAAATATCACAGCACATTAAATACGGAAATATTGAATAGCAGTAATAAAACCAAATGCAAATGGCCTGATATAGGCATTTTCATTTTACATTATTATGTTAAACTAGCATCCTGAAACTTTGGGTTTTTCAAAGTCTCTGTGTAACAAATAAAATAAGGTTGCATGTGTAGCAATTAAGCATACTCGATAGCAAAAAATGTTAGTGATGCTTATATACAAACTTTAAACCATCAAAATCACTTGATAGAGGTACCTTTTCTTTTAGCTGTGTAGTTTAGTAACAGCAAACACACACATTATTTTATTAGCATGGTTGCTACCTAACAATAAATCTATTCTATTTACAGGACTGGTCGCTTCCATTTCAGTAGGTGATTTTAACATGATTTGGCATGGAAGGATTATTTTTGTTTATCTCTAGTTTTTTGGTGATAAGATCAGAGTAGGATCTGATTAAACTGTATGATGACAAACCAAAATATTGCTTTCCAGCTCCCAGGCTGATACACTGTGAAGCTTATCTATGAAGTCTGAACACTTACAGAAGTAATTACAGAACCTATTAAAATGCTGACCACCCAAAAGCTATCATATGCAGCCATATTTGCTCTTTCTTTCAAATTGTTGTCAACAGCCATTTTTTAATAAAGGCAATTGCATGAGAGTTGGCAACCTACACCTATGGACTGCATCTGGCCTGCAAATGTGGAGCTAACCAACTAAAATGAAAAGATGCATGCTTAATATTTCCCAGATGTGTATAGTTTCTTAAACTAGACTTCCAGGCATTAGATTACCCTGATGGTTTCTCTTTATCCTTAGCAGGGGAACTCCTACATTCACTAACCTCTTTTTGTTATTTTAGCAAACAATGGAATGAACTTTCTGGTGTTAGGTCTGAGTATCACCCACAGAAATTCAGAATTCCCACAAAAGTCTTTGCAAGGCAACCTTGAAAAAGAATTTCCCAAGTCAAAAACAAGTGCCATGCTGGGTCAGACCAATAGTCCGTCTAGCCCAGTATCCTGCCTGCAACAGTGGCAGGAGTGAATGCTTTAGAAGGAGAGCATATGAACAGGGTATATTCTAGAGTGCTCTATCCCCGGTCATACCATCCATGGCATCCAACATGAACTAGACTGCTGCATCTCAGTGTGGAAGTACGATCTTCAGTAAAAACTAACCATCATTAGTTTGGTCTTACTTCAATGTTTCACAATTAGGATAATTCTGCACATACAGTACAATAAGTACATGGAACTTGTTGGAATGGAACCCTGAGTAAAGCAAGTCAATTGAAAAAATACACGTTTAATAGTACCAGTTTGAGAAATTTTAAGTATATTAGAAAAATTGACCCCACCAACTAGTTGTCTTTTAATCTGAACTATGTGAATGTATCACAAATTTAAACATAAAGTACAGTTTTGAATTTCAAGTGCATATTTAAAGTTGGTTTACTAGACAATTAAAAATAATTCTACTAATTGAAGGGTAGCAGTACTCAATATATGAAAATATTACTTGCATGCTTCAAGTTCAAATACATCCTGGTATAGGGTGATGCTCTGATGCTCTTCCAATAACATTTAGGGCAGATTTACACTGTCAGTGCCAGAGAACAGTTTCAGTTTTTATCAACCTTGTGTGCAATTCTCATCGTTCCCATGTATCCAGAAGCAAATCTGGGCATATTTGAGAGGAGTAATTCGTACTGCTACGTTATAATCCTGTTGTGCACCATTGACATCTACCCACTGATGACCTGAGTAAATTGCAATAATCTTGCGCTTCCATTTCTTTTTGTCTGGCTCTTTAAGGCGAAGATAGATTCCAGATCCAGTAGAACCAGGCTCAGCATCACAGTACTGGTAGAAAAGATCACTGGATTCATCAGATATACTACAAAATCTATAGACTAGCTGCCCAGATCGATCATTATCAAAACCTGAGAAATGGATCATACTGCCAGGCATCATTTTGATTGTTGGGCTGATTCCCAGCTCCATATATTTCCTTTTGTGTGGGCGCTTGAGCTCAAGAACAGCATAATCGTAATCGAGGGAAACATCACCATTTTTGCCTTTTAACCAGCCTTTGGGGATCTGGGTACTTTTTACCCTGGTCCACTGGAAGGAAGGCTTACCCTTTGAGGTTCTCTGACCCCTCCCAGTTGACTTTTGTTTTCTACCACCACCTTTGGAACCTGGATTTTGTTCTGTGCCATCCACCCCATCATCTCTGACCTCAGAAATTTCTCTCTTAGTCCTATTAGCACCTTTGCGTTTCTTGCCACTGCCTTTGGATCTCTCCTTTAGCAATCCTACCCTCAGCTTTTTGCTGCCCTTGACATAATCTTTGCCATTGTGCACACAGTGAGCAGCTGTTAGAACATGGTTCGGGGAAATGAGAATTCCGCTGCAGCCGGTGGAGATCTTCACAGCTGTGCTGAATGGGAAGTTAGTCATAAACTTCTTGTCAGAGATGCTGAATCTACTGTCTGTGCCATATATCTGCCTCTTTCTTCTTAAGGACATTCTTGTGTTAGTGTTCTGAGCTTGATCAGATGTTAGGCCCAAGACATTTACTTGAGTCAGGGTCCGTGTGCCATTCTCAAAAACAGTCTCATAGGAGAGGAAATCCTTCAAGTCAGACAGACTCGGCACTGGAAGTTTCCTTTGGCACTCAATTCCACACACTCTCTTCAGCTCTAATTTGGTTGTTGCTTCAAATTTAGGACTATCAAGGGACAAAGTTCTCTCGCTCACAATCTGAGGTACCTTCTTTAAGTGCCAAGTGAAATCTTGTTCTGTTTCTGCTCCATTGGTGAGACTGATAATGGGAATGGAAAACATGAGTAGCAGTAATATATGTTCCATTGTATCCATATGTTTTGCTCTACAATGGGAAAACAGAGAATATTTTAGGAATATAAACTGCACTGTATTTACATCTAGCTCACCGGGGCAAAACATTAACTTTGTGGCTATGATATAAACATGAACTCTCAAATCTTTATCCACTTTCACCTTATTTTGATTTTCTTGTGTAATTCTACTTTTCATCTTCATTAAACAGTAAACAGTTATGCCTGTACAGCAACAGTAATCTTAAAAGTGGCATTTTAAGGACCTAATCCCCTTTCCTTGATGTGTGTTGTCTGTTAAGCATGAAGCCATGGTATAGGTAGTCGAGAGAGATTTGACACATTTGAAATCTACTAAAAAGTGCCTCTATCTAACTACTACTTGCATGCATGGCTCATGACAACTCAGTGTAACTGCAGAAATTCAGAAAATATCTAAATGAATGCAAAATCTTTGCCAAATGCCTTTTAAAAAGACCACTTGGAAAAGTAAAGAGCCTAACTTAAGTCTAGCTAATTTCAAGCTAAAAATGCTTTTACATTAGTATCATGTCCAATGAGACCATCGTGAGTCTAAGCAACCTATCTAGACACATAAGCCATCCCAGTTCTGATGCCAGTATGCAATGGCAGAGAGAAATTCCCTGACTGCCCTCCTCTCTCTCTTTTTTTTGGTGGAAATGATTTGTTTCTGTTCTGCTCTTTGGCTTTTCTTGTCTGAGTAAGGGTCACAAGATGCAGTGAAGCTTCAGACACAACTGGGGGTCATATCAAGAAGGGAGAAAATAGAGAGTTTGCAAGGTATATTATGGGATACACAGTAGGGTAGCCCATCCATAAATGAGGCCCTAAATTAAACTTCCTTTAGCTACAGTTAATATTTGTTTTCCAGTTATACCAAGATGGCTTGATTAAGATGGACTTTCCATTAAACTACATAGATAACTAGGTACATAAAGAGCATACATTTTAAAATCAGTCCTTTTCACCCTTTTTAAACTAAACACACCCCTTGCAAACTGCCAGTTCATAGTTTGTTTGTTTTTTTCTTGCATGCACAAAAATAGAGCAATTCTGCTGCAAAGCACACAGAAAGGTCGGGATGCGTTTAACTCTATGGATTCCTTTGAAATCTTTGGTTTTATCTTGTGAATCATGTTTGCACACCTAACTGTACTAACGTTGTGACACAACCTGTGGCACCCTTGAAAAGATCAAGGCACCCCAGGGTGCCATAACACCCTGGTTAAGAACCACTGTTCTAAACAGAAAAGATAAAAATGCAATATTGTCCCCCAGTTAAACATGAAGAACTGAGGCACTGAGAGACCGAGTTACCTGCCCAAGAACACACAGAAAGTCTTTGGCACAACCAGCAATTTGGACTCAGATCCTCCTGAATTATGTATGATACCTTTATTATAACATCAACCTTATTCTGTGGCTGTATTTGATCCCTAAAATATGTGAAACACTGGCTCTTGCCACTTGGAGAGTTCTGCTTTATTTGTGTACCCTTTTGTACAGCAGTACATAAGTCTTAATGCATGCAATGCCTGTAGGTACGTAAAGCTTAAAAACCAAGTAATTTAAGAACAAGTGTTTTGTTAGATTCCCTGGTGTTCCTTCTAATGTGATTATTCTCAACCATGGGATTCTGCACAACATTATCAAAGGTAGGTGTGGAAACACCTACGCAGGATTCTGAAGATAAACCCACAGATTTCAAATAGGAAACCACCATGTCAAATACATTCAAACCTGTTGTGGTCTGAGTTCTTTGCAACAGAAGAATTGCTGTATTTTTCTGTAGTCAAAAGAATGAGCGAAAGCAGAGCAGGCATTTTCAGGGAGGTGCCTTGAGTCGAAAAAGGCTGAGAAAAAACCAGCGCTCTCCTGACAGTATAAATGATAAAATAAATCTCCTTTATGCTTGTTATACTTTAGTTTGCAAAATATGAATTGATCATTACAGTTAATGGGGAAGTGACTGATTACAGGCTAGATAAAAGGACACAGCACAAAACAGCATGTGAATAAAGTTGAAATAGCACTAACGATGAAGGCATCCTAGTGCTTTCCTTCTCAGAATTCAACTAATCTTCTATGACATTAAACATATTGGAGAGAGAGTGCATTTCAGCTGTATTTCACCAGTGTTCCAATATATTTGTTGAACAAATGAGGAGCTGTTCCCAGACATAACTCTATTGAAGGGCTTGTGAATGTTGTCAAGATGCAAGACAAAAGCCATTCCTGGATTGCCCTACCCTATTTTATCAAAAAGGGACTCCCAATCCAGCGTCCAGATGCTTTAATGTTTTCCTATAATGGGTTGCTGTAGACATCAATTTATTAATGCTGAGAGAGGCAGTTAGTTGTGTTAGTCTAGTTTCAGGCAAAAAAAAAAAAATTTGGACTGGCCATTGCTGATGTCTTTAAAATAAAATGATTGAAGTCTTCCCAATCTGAGCTATAACCAACTCTTCCCAGTATAGAAACCTCCTACAACAAAATGGGTGGGGTCTTGTGGCTCACTGTAGCCATCCTCATCACAGCCACAAGGACCTCAGGAACTCCTCCTGTTTGAAAGACCATAATGAACTGCTTATTCCCTGTAACAGCAGCCCTTGATGCCAAGGATTTTGTCTATTATGATGAGTCATTTATGGTTTGCTGCAAGTTAATTGAAATAATGTACCTTTAAAGGAGTTGAAAGAAGCCCATACCATGAAAATAATAAACATAGGAGTTGCTATACCAGATTGCACCAGTGATCTTTCTAAACTCATTAACTGCCAAGTGTGTTACAGTTAGTACCCACAGATACTTTAAGCATGATCCTTTTAAGGTACAGAACTGCATCTTCAGAGAAGAGGCTGGAAACAAGTGGATAAAGGTGATCTCTTCCCCTCTGGAAGCTTCTAACTTTTACTACTGAAACCCTGGCATCTCAGGTTTGTGGCTTGTGAGCTTTCCACCCTTTTATATAGACATAGGTGTCTCCCCACTTCAGATACTCAGTACCAGAAGCCCTTCTGCATCTCCTCCTAAATCCCACTCTTTCAGTTACAAACGCTATTACTTTTTTAGTGAAGAAAAAGAATTTTTTTGAATAGAGGGAGTTCTTAGAATGTGATCCAACTACACTTTCAATACTTGTGAGCAGATTTAAGTCCCTATATCTTATGGAAGTGGGTCAAATTTCCCATTAAAGCACCCTTGGGTGGGATTTACTTGAAAGTGTAGCTTTGACATGAAGAAAAGAAAAGCTCAGATTCCTGGCAGGGCTTTATCTCTTCGCTATGTTTGGTACAGTCTGTGCTCTGGGATTCTTGAAGCCGCTCAGCATTGTAGAGTTTTTTAGTAAAAGTTCTAGTCTGTAGTAACCAAACATCTTTTTTAAGCATTTTTTTAGATTGAAAATAAGGAACTGCTACTCATTCTCCAAATAAGCTTTTCTGTATGTCACTTATTTTTGAAAGGGAAGACAAGCTAGAGGGAACACTTAAGTTGTGCTAGGAAGAAAACTTCTGATAAAGTGTCAAGGTTAATCATCAAGACTTAGTGGTAATGGCACTGACTCCTTGAGACACCATAGAAGAAAACGTTGCTCTAATGACAATTATAAGTCTTTATCCTGAACTTGTGCTGATTGTCATGGTTTAAGAAAAACTGAGACATCTGCTTTCCACCTGAATCTTATAAAATCAGCTACTGTTCTTGGACATATCTATCATTACCTGAACTTACAAACAGGCATCAGAGATTTCCCAAATAACAAAACTAACCTTCACCTGCAAAAGGTAGAGGATTGCCTTTTAACTTCAATTTTATTAAATCTTTTCCCTGTCTGTCTCTAATATAGCCACTAGATGGCAGAACTAGATAGATCAATTGTTCCTAGGATCTTTACACTCTTCCTCTTTCTGGATCAGCAGTATATCATAATGCATTATAAAAACCACTGCATGTTTGTTGGCAGGGATACACACTTTCAGTTTATTCTCAAATTCAAGATTAGGTTGAGATATGATCTGGATCCTTACAAACAACGGAGTGTTACAGCTGCTCTGATCTTCTACAAATGGTCGTATCTCCAAGGCTTTTCAGGTGTAGAAAAACTCTTTTGCCATATGAGCCTGCATTAGGAGAATCTGACTGGATATAGCCATATGTAGGCAGGCACTTTTCTGCCAGCTGTCTCCCACCACCGACTGCCAATACATTTCAGTAGTGACCTACACCCTCCCTCATTCCAGGCGTATGTTTCTCCAGTCCACCCAATGCATCTGTTCCCTGAGAGAATGAAACATTTCTTGCAGTTTCTCCCCATCCCAGACACCCCCCTCAATACTTCAGATAATTTTGCCACCAGTAATTACAGTTAAGTTTCCACTTTTCCCAAATACATTTCGGTAACTACCTCTCTCATTACTGCTTGTGTTGGAGGCCCCTGGCATACTTGGGCAACTACACAAAAGCCCAGCTTTTTCTTACATCTGTAACATCTGTATTGCATTCTCTCATAAGATTTCATGAGGGAGGAGAAAAAATGTTTAGCAAACAGCTCTGGTGCTGTTTCAGGTGGTGGCTTGAACAGCTCCTAAGGAGCTGTCACTACTAAGCCTCTTTCACTTCCTATGCAAATGAGTCCCCCCAGAGTTCAAGGAACTCCCTTTAGCCCTTACTGTGAAAGTCACTTTCATATCCACTTACTTTGTTTCATTCCTCCCCTGCCACAGGATGAGGGGTGTTATTCTCAGGGCTCCACTGAATTCTCTCTGTCCTCAGTGCTCCCAGGCGGTGGTTAATAACAAGCAGCATCACCTTAGTGCCTGCATCACCTAACCCCGCTTGGCCCCTGTGACACTTTACATACATGACGCAAGTGACTGGTGAATTCTGCCATGAACATCGGCCAGCCACGCATCCCACCATAAAAAGGTCAGCTAGGAAAAGCCAGCCTGCTCTGTGGTCTGGCAAATGGGCAATAACTCTACAGCTGGTTTCTAGCCAGCTTTAATCTGACGGTGGAGCAGGGCCCATAGGTAAGCGGTAGTCGTTTCAGGCTAACTGCGCAGAAGGCAGATTGTCACTCTTGTCACCTGTTCTGCTTTCTGTTGGCTCCCTTCTTGGGGAGTATTTGTAAGCGCTAGATAGCTCCTCCAGCCCGACAGCTGTCTGGAAGGGGTGGCCGCGGGATCCCTCCTCTGCCCAAGACAAATCAATCCCCGCTTCGGCATTTCAAGCCAAGCTTTGCATGGTCCCTTCCCCGCCGTCCTCCCCCAAACAAGCTCGTCTGGACTCCGGAGGCTGCACGTCCCGGCAGCGGGCCCGGGTCCCAGAGGCGGCCGCCTCCAGCGACGGGGCCGCGCGCGGCACTGATGGAGCCGGAGGCAGAGGGAGGCTCCACGCGAGCAAGCCAGGCTCCTGCCCCCCGGCCCGCGTCTCCCCCCCCTCCGCCATC